ACTATTTACTAACTTAACTTATTTATTTTTTTAAGCTCATAAAATATAAAAAACTAAAAAAATTTTAAAGTTAGTTATTGATTTCCAGTATTAAATTTAATTTTATTACAAAACGTTTTTTATTTCAAGAAAACAAATTAGGGGGGCTATATGCCTATATTAAAGATCCTTATGTTATCACCTAAGTATATTCTATTGACATTTATAATATATATTACACACACGTATATATATATAGCCACAAATAAAGGTATAAATAGAAAATTACATTAAGTATTGGTACTTTATATTATAGTTTAAGTTAACATTTTGAAAACTGGGAATAATAAAAATTAAGTTATTATAATTAAATATTAATTAAGTATTAACTAAATTAATATTACTAAATTGAATGAAATGTTTCGTGTATAATTGAGATAGCTAAGGCCTTAGGGCAAGCTTAACCCTCTCCTCAAGGGAGGCTTTATGCCTAAGTATGCCCCCCACCACGATTTTACTCCATGGTCAAATACAAGTCTGTCTAATCTTTATACTTTAAACTATAAAGGTATAATAGCCAATAGGCCATTATCCTGCAGATATTGTAAACAGAAAAATATTTTAACGACGACCGCGTTTTTTACTATAGAGGAAATAATGCATATAATACATATAGTCACTATATATGGTTTCCCTTTCTACGTCCGAATAATAACAATAATACGTGTGTACGCCGTCATAATGTCCACTGTACATATATATATATATTATGTATATTGTATATACAGAGTGATTATTTTAAAGGTGATAACTCATTTTCTCGAAATGTTTTAGCAGTTTAATAAATATTTGTTAGATAGTTAAAAATTATTAGAAAATCATACTTTTGAATAAAAAAATTTACTTTATTTTATTTTTATCGTTATTATCGTTGTTAACCGTGATCTCATTAAAATAATTAAAAAAAGTGACATTTTTTTTCAAAGGTGTTGTTTTATAATTATTGTTAAAAAAAAATCCTAAAATGATTAAATGAGAATATATATTTAAAATAAACATTCTATACATACTATGTACATACAAAATGTATTAATGACATCGACGGCGAATCTCGACAAATATGGAAGTGTATCGGTACGCCCATAAATGGACCTGTTGTCGCGCTCGTGTGAAACTTGTTCGCGGTCCGCAGTGGTAATCATATAATATAAATAAGTGCAGCGTACATTATTGTATTTTAAAGTTTATTATACGTTGACGTGCGTATATAGGTAATATGACGTTATTTCGTTGCTATGTATAAAACAAAGAATAATATAAAATAATGCATATTATATTAATAAAATACTTTAATACTATCAATAATGGTAAATATACATATTTGTAGGTGTAGCATACTCTGTATCACACTGTCGCTACAAATAAAATTGGAATATCCACTCGTTACTTTCACGATGTGTATCATCGTTATTCGTAATAAAGCACCTACTACTTTTTGCATATTACCCGTATATAAATAGTATACATAATCACATAGGTTATTAGCACTATTCGGTTTTAGGTACCTCTAACTTGTGACATGTTTATTTAAATAAACATGTCACAAATAAACATGTTTATTTAATATTATACATACCTACATCGATTTTCTAAGCGCAAATAGCTCGATATTTTTAGAAATATTCATCATTTCCATGCACATAACACTTCGATAAACTATGTATTTTAAATTTTTAGTGAGTTGTAATATTAATGTATCGAATTCTGAAATCCATCATATAACATTCATCATATCTGCTAAACTACTGCAGTCAATTATCGATTTTTGGATTAATACGATCAATGTAAAGGGTTTGGTTTTTTAGTTCTCGAACAAAATAATTTTTTAAACAGTCACACAGACACTCGATTCAATCAGGGAAGTTGGTCACGAGGTCACAAGGGTAACTTTAACACAGATTGGTATTATGTTCAAGTTTACTTCCGCTGTAGTAGGCTAACCGTTAATCATTTGCCCAATATTGATTAATTTATATGCTGAAATTTTTGTAAATGATATTTAAAATTTTTATTTTTATTGGAACTACAGTTTTCATAACTGTGACAGATATGATAATCATAAGTATGTGTAAAGTTGGCCCAAATCGCTTTAAATAAAGTGTTAATTGTTTCTCTTAATTTTTAAATAATTGTAAGTTCATACATACTTATTTTTTGATTTTGTTAACTAACAGCTCTAAAGTTATTACTTCACATAATTTGGGAGCCTCCCCCTATCACAACCGTTTTGCTCAGAATAAATCGTTAATTGATTCAAATAAATGATGAATAATGATATCGATATCAAACACATTTTCCAATATGTATCTAATAAAGTATTTACATTGTTATTCGATGTAAATATAAGGTGGCGACATTAGGATTTATATTAGCACAGCGGTTCTCAAACTGTGCTCCGCGGAGCCCTAGGGCTCCGCGAGAGTAGTCTAAGGGCTCCGTGGCTCCCTGAGAATTTTTGTATTAATTAAATTTAAATTATTAAATTATTATTATATTTCTTAGTTAAATTTTTATTTTTATAATCAATATTATTTAGACCGTACCAATATGAATTATTTTAAACGTTTAAAACTTTAAAATATTTATAAATCCACATATGTCATATTTTGTGTCATTGTCAAAATGAGATTAGATAAAAGTATGGGTTTTTCATTCATTTGACATGTTGTAAGATAATGATTTAGTTTACTTATCTACAAGAGTACAATCTACATTCTACGAAGTTCTAATAATTTCTTGATTCTTCAGTCATTACTCGTTATTCATCGGCCGCTAACGCAAATATTGTTATTTCGGTGTTTATTCGTATTACGTGTTTCTTATTTTACCATCAATTGTTTTTATTGTTAACAATTTTTTTTGTGAATAAAAATACAAATGGATCGTATATATTCGTATTTTATAGAAAATAAAAATATAAAGCAAATCATTTACAATTGTTAATTGTAATTACATAATTTATTTATGAATTTTTGTTGCCTCATATAGACATTTCTGATCTTTGGGGCTCCGTAATTTTTTTTAGGAATATATGGGCTCCGCGAACAAAAAAGTTTGAGAACCGCTGTATTAGCAAATACATTTGATGATTAAATTAGATATTACCTACTATAAATAAACAATAAATATAAGTAGGTACCTATAGGTAATATTATTATTTAAATTATTTAATACATCATATTATATGGAACAATATATTATTGTATTATTCTATTTAAAGATTAACCTTTATAATAATAAAATTAGGATCTGCTTTATAACCGTAAATATATGAATAAATAAATCAAGAGTAATTAATTAAATTAATTGTTTATAAACATTACACTGCATGAATTTTTTTTTTAAATCATACAAATATATTAACTCAAGGTCCAAGGATTAATAAAAGTATGTAGTACCAGCTAAATGTGTAAACGTTCAATGACAAGATCTTCTTGATAGTGTCGAATGTGTCCGTTAAATCCTTTTACGGATATAATCATATTAAGTAGAAGTAAATGCTGTGTATTGTGTACACACTTCATTTCCTGTTTCAATAGGTAAATATTAATACAATTATATTTTATTATGAATAAGTACACCGTATACCTTATAATATATTTTACATAGGTAATAGACGTGTATTTTAAAACCTCGTATAATTTTTCCTTTCTACTGTGATACTGTATTAAACAAGGGTATTAATGGTATTATAATCCTATACTTAATATTATACGTCACATTTTGCATTAGCTCACTTATTACTTAATAAGATGTATCATAATATGTATTATATCGTTTTTTTTTTATCGCGATCGTATTAGATGTGTAACTAAAGATCAGCCAATGAGGAGATAATCGACTTTTTGAGCCTAATTGATATTAAGGACTACTTCCTTCCCACTCACATCCTGTATTAACAAAGATATAACATTTTTATTTTTTATAGTAATACTAATTATTATGTTGTTTACAACTTAGGGCTAATTAGAAAATTTTACTTATTATTTATAATAACAGATAAAAATGCAGTTATAAATACATTAAATAAAATATTCGTCATTGCTAATTAAAGTAAAATAAAATTAATAGTAAATAAATATACCGAAAAATTGGTTTCCTTAAAACTTGTTAATCGTGTTAATACCTACTAGTATTAAATACAATATTAAAAAAAAAAACATTTAATATATTTTCAGTTGTTACCCGATTAGTAATAGCATAGCCAATATGAATAGAAAAATAATAATTTAAACAATTGCTAAAATATTCCAATCCTAACTCAATTAAAAAATCTTACTACATTTAATTTCATTCAAATTTTATCCATCATTAAAACCCACTAATTAATCGATTTTATCGACAACTTAACCCTCGCTCTGTTAGTCATATAAAATGGGCCTAGCCTAGGACCTATTAATTTAATCTAGCGGATTACTGATTAATTTCCCGAGTTCAAAATATACAACAAATATTTTCTAACATAGCATAACTCTAGTATTTTTTAAGTTAATAAGTGTTTACTGTTAAAGTAATCACCCAATATTGTGTTAGAAATACACACATTTATATTATGATTTAAAAAGTTATTATGTAATCTTTTGAGTGTGTTTTAGCCACGTCTGTAACAAAGTATATGAAGAGGTCGTGATTAAGTGTGTAATTGGAAACGTAATATGGTGCTTTAATGATTTGTTTTAGAGTTTTGGATTGATAAGTTTGTTTTCTATTGATGTTAGTAGGTTTTGCTGATCCCAAGAGCTGCATACCATAGATCCATATTAGTTTAAATAGCATTTTGTATATAAGGAGCTTGTTGTTTAGATAAATATGTTTAGAGGTCAGTAGGTATCGTAGCTAACGGCTTACAATCATTGAGGGTTAAACGTTTGGAGCATATATGAGGAACCCATGTGAGTCGGCGGTCTAGGGTTAGTCCAAGATTATTGACGTTTTGAAAGTAGGGTAGAGGTTGATTATTGATGAATAGTTGTGGACAGTCTTTGGGATGTAGTGTGAAGGTAGAAAGGAACGATTTCGTTTGGTTTAATTTCAGGCCTCATTCTATGTACCATGAGGCTAATAGGTTAAGATGGGTTTGCATAAAAGAGGCAGCTAATCTGTCTGGATCAGAAGTGGCATGCAAGTAGTGATTTGTCATCTACAAAGTCAGCTACAATTGTATTTTGAGTTAACTGCACCTTGCGGGACACCAGCTTCTATTTTAGAAATATTTTAAAAAGTTTTTCCTGAGCGCATAGAGAAGTGGCGATCACTAAGATATAATTTAATAAGTAGGTAAAAGTATGAGAGAGGGAAAAGGAAATTACTTTAATTTTGTGGAGGCGCCCTTGGTGCCAAACTCGATCAAATGCCTTATAAATAACTTTAAGCGTAAAATGTAAAATGATGAAAACGTATTTATGCATAATATGATGTAACATCATTTTTTTTTTAAATCAAGTCTTAACTGTATTGATGTTAATTTTTTAAGATTAATTGTCTGTTTGCATAAAATTTTATTGATGTCCTGTAATAATTATGTTTAAATTATTTGTATTTGAATAAACTTTACTGCATATTTTAATCAATGAATGATGTAAATAAAAGTTATCCAACAATATATCTTTATGTAGATGATAATTATCAATATATTATATTATGTAAATCAATATTTGTTTGTTTCGTACTATTTTCTATGGGTATTACATAATTAATGACACCAATATTGAAAATTGTTATTAGGTTAATATGTATTAATTTTTTTAACAAACTCCGATATAATCTTTAGAAGGAATTTGTCCGGAATCAAGATTTAATAATAAAATGATTTTTAAGTTGTCTCTATATAATCTCTAATTTACCTGGTATTTCAGATGATACGGCCTTAGTGTTATATGACAGTACCTATATATAAATGTCAGTGTTACAAAGCAGGTGTACCTAAATTGCCTATTCAACATGTCGTGTGATCATTAAATGTATATAAAAAAATATAATTTATAAGTTCTATAGTACTGGTTTATTGTAGACAGCCCTTAATTTAATTTTATGTATGTAGATTAGTAGATTCTAATATAAGCTATAACAATTTTAGCAAATAAAATAAAATTAAGATACATCAATCTTGTGAAGCAATATATGCTGGATGAAATAAAATATTGCACTATATAAAACCGCCAGGCGCACAGGCAGGAGCCCCGTTATCGTCAAGAAATTCGAAGGACATATTGGTACGAAGACTGAATACAAGAAAATCAGTTATTAAACGGAAAAAGTGTTGCTATTTTAAAAAATCTTTTTCTGTTTAATAAAAAGTATTTCCGAACGATAAAATTGTATAATTTGTTTGAGCAACCACACAATTCTACCGTACTCCTTGAAATTAATCTATAAGTTATAACCAGTTAATTTATGGTCATTGAAGATTGAAAGTCTATAAACAGTATAAACAAAAAGGTAGCGATATCGACTTTTAATTACAGTTAGGTAATCGATTAATTCATAGTCTTTTAGTGACTCAAATGTCAATTATAAGGTATATATAACAGAAAGGTGCGAAGAGTATGACAATAACAGCCAACGAAGTTCAAATTTATTTTTATTTTTGTGCACCTATAATAGGTATTATTTATTCAGGTTTATTTTTACCAGTTTAAGTAAAAGATTTATTTTTTAAAGTATTTGAGTGTTAAATTAACCTAGGGTCAGGATGCAAAACTTTTTGAGTAACTATGCAATGCATATACTGAGCAAATAACTACATATATGCGTTCTATTAAAAACAAGATGCAGCGTTTCTTACGTGAAAGCACAGTTATGATAACAATAAGTAAATACACAAACATGAGTAAGGTGAATACAACTACATTAAATATTTAGTGGAACTTCAAAAAAAGGGATATAATACATATATAAGTAGAAATAATAAATACTGATAACATCGAAACTTAATATACATCACTAGATGTGATGCCAGAAAACTAAAAGCAAAAAAAAGCAGGAAAATTATGCAATTTTAAGATAGATTGTTTAAAACGTC